TATTACAGCCTGATATAATTTAGGCTGGATCTAGACACATCAAAGAAGCGTTTCCGTTAAACACGTTGTAAATTTAAACAGGGTAAACAGGTTACAGAAAAATGGGACTCCACACCACCATCTGCGGGCACAATGTCACATCGCATATACAACGCATATAAAATCGCTTTTACTTCACCAATCTAGCTGAGTCCTTAGTCATTCTGTTAGACTGTTGGCTGAAGGGCAACATAACATTTTGCTTAATAAATATGTTACTCTTCTACCATTTTAAAAGACTTCTGCTGTTGTATGAAGGGCAACAAACGAGTTTATAAAAAGTCCTCACAGTCTGTTCCTTGCAGAATTACAGTGGTACCTCGGGTTACATACGCTTCAGGTTACAGACTCCGCTAACCCAGAAATATTACCTCAGGTTAAGAACTTTGCTTCAAGATGAGAACAGAAATCATGCAGCAGCGGCGCAGCGGCAGCGGGAAGCCCCATTAGCTAAAGTGGTGCTTCAGGTTAAGAAGTTTCAGGTTAAGTACAGACCTCCGGAACGAATTAAGTACTTAACCTGAGGTACCACTGTAGTAGCAAATATGGTCCATTTAAAAGTAGTATGTGTAACACTGTGTGTGTGTGTGTGTGTGTGTGTGTGTGTGTACAGACACACAAATATGAGATGGCAAAATTTGACATGATTGACATTAAGACACATTGTTGGCTGTATGACGCAACAACAATTTGCTAAAAAGTGTAAGAATATTACCCATAATTCGTTAGATCAATGCCAGATTGACTAAGTGTAGATTTTCTTTACCCGAGGGAAATAAAGGGGGAGGGGGAGCTTTGTACTTCTAACTTTCCGGTGAGTAGATTATCAGAATTATCTGTTCACATCTGGTAACTTGTATGGATTTAAGACAATCTACATCTGTGAATTTCCCTCTGTTCTCAGTAACTTCATCTACAAGAAAAAGCTCTAACTTCGAGCACATTGGCACCTGCATATTACAATATTAATGCATAAGGAAGAACAGCCAAATAACCAAGCATTCTAACTCTTGTCAAATTATAAAGAGGACAGTACATCAGAATGATATAAAACATCATGAGGAAATTCTGGCAGTGAAACCTCAAAGAGTACAGTTTCTTGTTAAATATTGTGACAGCAGCAGTAGGCTTTCGTGTCAAAATACTAGATATCTGTATAATCACTTACACCAAGTAACTACATCCAGTGGTCTAGATTTAATAGTGAGCTGGCCCGTGACTGTAGCCAATTAGAAAAGAAAGTGATTTCTCTGAGGTCACATTTATATCAATTGTTTGTATGTACGAAATAACCAATTGGAACAAAAAATACCTAGCAACAGTAATGACAGCTTGGTAAAAGCAGCTGCTACACAAAGGAAAAATTAGAAAATTGCTCTCTAGTAAGGAAGGATTCCATGAATTCATTTTGTGTGGCTTTCTCACCATGAATTTTGGCAGAGAACAAAATGAAATATACAGCCCAGATATCCTTGTACACATAAGATTTTGCTTACACCATAGTTAGCTGTATTGCTTTCTTTCCCCCTCACCAACAAACAGAAAATGTTTTCAAAGCCAGATTACAATCAGAATTTACTGTAAACAGCTTCAATGGAAAGGTGGAGAAGGCAGGCTTTATTTATTTATTTATTTATTTATTTAGCTCAACAACAAGGTCTATCTAGGTTTGCACTAGACAACTTAGCCTTGAATTCTCATCTGTACAGCAATAATATAATTATGACCTCAGACGTGAGAAACAAAATTGCAAAGGGCTTTAGCAAGGTATTATTGTTTATTACTATATCTCAACTCAAGCTTTAGCTGAAAAGGCTCCAAGATTAATACACAACACGGCAGTACCTGAATGCAGGATTACAATACAAAGGACATGACAGAAAAGGAAAAAGGGATAAGTAGGAAAGAGGAAAGCAGCTAAGCTCAGACTTCAGTTCTTAAAAATAAAGAGTACTAGTTCTACCGTAATGACCAGCTGGGATGGAAAGAGTTCAAGGAGAGGAGGAGCCAATATCTCAGCAGAGCCAATGGAGTGGCTCTGCTTCTCATCTCTCCCCCTGCTGCCTCTGCTGGAATAAATATTATATGAATGCTATATGAATGAATATTAATAATTGATTTCAGTGGAAACTAAGTCCAACTCATTTAGTCTGATTCAGTCCAGTGTGGTTCATGGCCCTCATTCACTTTAACCCTTTTTTTACCCTTACCCACAACCATTGCTGGGCAGAGGAGGAGGCAGAAGGATGCTCAGTTAGCACTCTGCGAATGTTTGCTGGCCAGTTGCCCTATTTGCCAGGGGGGACCAGCAAAAAACCCAACAACACTACTGGTACCTCTTGTTTTGCAGGTTAGAACTGGAATTCACGATAATCTTCCCACAGCTACAGTAACCAGTTCACACTAGCAAATTCACAATTACTGAATATATTTTTATTGATTGGTTTATTGATTGATTTGATTTGATTTGATTTGTATTCAACTTATCCCCCCACGGCGCTGTACATAATTCTCCTCCTCTCCTTTTTATCCTCACAACTACCCTGTGATGTACATTAGGCTGTGAGTGTGTGTGTCTGGCCCAAGGTCACCCAGTGAACTTAATGGCTGAGTGGAGATTTGAGTCCTGTCAGCAAGCTCCTGGTCCATCACTCTGTCCACTCTATACCACATGTACAGTGGCTCAGATTTCTGCCAGATTGCCGATACACAGAAATAGCTCACCAACGCTATCTTCTCTGTAATGGGTTATGCCAAGGATAGTCAATCCGGTGCCTTCGTCCCTAACAACCTGCCATTCTGCCTTGGGCTGGTGGGAATTGTACCACAATATTATCTGGAGGGTACCATTTTGACCACTCGTGGATATAGATATAGACATCTCTCTCAGACCTATGTGAAATGGCAGGCAGTATGATATACATACAAAAAGTCCCTCTATGAGCACAAGCTTCTTCTTGCATGCATTTAATAACCTAATGCTTGGTACCGATAGTTGCTACCAAAATGGAACCATTTACCATAAAAGTGCCTAAAACAGCCTAGGCATATTTGACTACTGATCAAACGATGTACATTATACACCAAAAACCAATAGAGAGAGGAGCACACACTATTCATGAATGCATTGTTGCCATCAAAAGGCAAAGGAGCTTCTTTGAGAAATACTTTAATTTTGTTCACAGAGCCTGTATCGTATGTCTAAATAATGTTTCTTATGTTTTGTCTCATTGTCTGATTTCTGTAAGGTTCTCCTGGGACATTATAACTCTGCTATAACAAATGAGTTATTTTAATCTGCTAGTATTTCCCATTCTAAATCCTGACATTCTGCTGCTACCATTATTAGCAGAACTAAATTACTTAATGGTTAGCATGAAAGCAATGCTTCTGAAGATGAGTTAAGCGTGCCATCTATCCTGTTCCATTTAATATTTCAGATCATCTAGCACTCTCATTGTAAGGTAGATAATCTTAAAAAGCATGAAGTTCTGACCTTAAACACTAAAGTTCCTGTTTTTCATCACTTCTGTTGAGATGTCTAATATTTCTGTTTTCTGTGAATAAATAATTTTTCTCCTTTTAATTCTATAACCTCTTCAGAGCAGTTAAAATTATGTTAAAAAACTCATTAACTTTGACGAGATATTGATGATGCCAGCAGTTAATTATAAGCCAGCTGGTGTTATGGCAAAAATTAAAAAGTTAGACATTAGAAGTTTGCTTTTAAAAAAGTAAAAACCCATACTATTGCTTTGGTAGGCAGTGATAAATAGGCTTTAATCCTGCAATGACCTGATACTATCTTTAACATTAACCAGAACATGCTTAGCAAATTTCCTCCCACACCAAGAAACTATCCAAGTATGGGAGTAATTTAGTCCATTAGAATAAATACTTGGGAGGAGGGCATAGGCCAGAGACATATTTATGGAACTAATTCTTTTTTATATACAGGTGGAATAAAGTAATAATATTAGATTATAAATCTCAATAAAACCTATTGTGTTTTGACCAATATGGCTACCTCTTCATATTTTCTATGCTGTTATTCCTGCAATGATATGTATTATTCCAATATATTATCATTTTTGTTTTTGCAGGTCACTCCACAAATCTAAATTAAGTCATTACAACGGATGTAGAACATTATACATTGTACTGGGCCACTATGCTCAGCATGTAATTAACAACAAAGAAATGGCAAATCTAAGAACTTCACAAAATGGGGGTGGGAGGCTTTTGAAACTTTTTTGTGCACCAGTGATGTGATACAGCACCAACTGAAAGGAACTGGAAGCCTCATGTCATATCCTGACTAAAGAAAGGGATCCACGTATTCAGAAAATTTAGCAGTTGCTGTGGCAGTACGTTCATCAGTGGATAGCAATATAGTGTAGATTTGTGCATCATGTCTAAAGGCTCAAAGGTACCATTTGACTTCAAAGGGCAAAGATTGCTTTTGTGAAGATGAGCTTGACGTGTATGTGAAGAAGAAACTGGTTCAGTTCAGAAGAACAGATGAAGTTGAAGCAATGCAGATAAAAGATTCCAGAAAGATTGCTGCTGAGAGGCACAGTAGTAAGTGCAAGCAAGAAGTTGTTTCATGTGATTAAGCTGTTTTTAATTTAGATGCCACAGAAGCAAATACTGTATCATTCTGACTGCCACCCAGATTCGATACTAGTAAAATGACACCAGACTCAACTTGGCCTGCAGTCAGATAAGACAGGAGGACCTGGTAACAGAGCACATGCTTTGCTCAGAGAAAGTGCTCGAGTTCAATTCTTGGCAATCTCCAGGTAAAAGGATCACGTCGTAGAGGATGAAAATAAATCTTGGCCTAAGTCAACAATATTGGGCTCATCTGACCTGATATAAGACAACTTCCTGTGTTGCTAACCTGTTTTTGCTAAGCTATGTGATTTCATAGGAAGCCACCATGAGTGTCATGTTCTTTTACCAGCCATTGTAAAAACAATTTTATTGCAGACGGCAGCATTTCATTTTACACAGCAATGTGGAAATTGCAAGAAGACTGTGGTGATATTGTAATCACCATAGCCTTGTCAGACAAGAGAAGCAGCCTGTCTTGTTGCAAGTAGCATGGAAGAGAGGTGCAGTAATTCTACTGAAGATGGCCGGTAGACTGCTTCTGGGAAAGGTGCCTGGTCAGCCATGCTGATTTGTGGTGAATATCTATCACATAAAGAAACGTGGGTTGTTGGCAATGGCTGTTTCTGACACACTGCTATTGACGAGTGAAATAGTAGGGATGGAAGGAAACTGGTCCATGAAAACATAAGTGTAATGCCATCAACTTATCCAAGTTCATTCTTATTTGCAATGCAAATGGGGGAGTTCAGGTGGTTTGGTTCAATACAACTAACTGACATGCTTTACAACCTTGATATGTGGCCAGGATATGATGGAATGAGAACATATGAGTTGTTAAGGCTCATCAGTGTCCAAGTTAAAGTGTCTTTATGTGTTTGATTTGGGAAAAATGTTTGCACTTTAGATGACTTTGGAACATTTCATGCTATGGGAAGTGTTCAGTGTGTCAAGCCAGGAACTACTGTGATCACTGAGGAGAAAATAGTGTGTCACATTAAAATCTAATGGCTAAATAATCAACAAGTACAATTAAAAGTTTATAGGATTCTTAGAAACCAGTAATTATAAAACTTGGAAATGCTTCGTGTGGCATCATGACCAGAGAGAAGGGGAATACCTTTTTATCCTGTTGGCATTTAAAGGTAAATCTATCAAATCCACACTTTCTGAAGCAATATGCGAATTGAAACACACCTATCATTGAAATTCACACTTATCTGAATTTTATGTTGTGCACTTCTTGTAGTTTGCCTGGAAGAAAATGACAATTACCATAACGTCTTTACAATATGACTGGACTAACATGTTTTAATAAACTTTTTGTTTATTGAAGGTTCTATAGATAACAGAGTGATAACAGGGTTGAGTTGAGTTAAGGGACTATTGTGTGATCTGCTTTTGCTGGAATCTGAATAATTTTAGGACCAGTGCACCTATATGGTGTGCTTGAGCCCAAGTGTATACAAGCAATCCTCATTTTCATGGGGGGGGGTTTTCATTTTGGACTCCCATGTGCATTGGCAGAGTGCGCATAATCCCGCTCTGCCCTATCCACCCCAGCCCTTTTCATGACCTCTTTATAACGTTTGGGGGCTACTTCCGGGTTCAGCACCATGCATGTGTGCACGATCATGAATCATTTGGAGGCACCCAAACCTGGAGATGTCTGTATCCGCTACTTTATTTATTGCAATATGTGTCTCAGGTCTATACCATTTATCTACACTTCTCCCACTCCATTTCCTAATCTTCTGCTATCTAAGTAATGGCCTTCTCAGTAATGGCACCACGTTCATGGAACACTCTTGCTTGGACCCTGCTTTATTGTACTTACAGTGCCAGGTAAAAATACCCTTTTCATTTTTCCTACCTTTTAATTCCCTCCAAGCAATTTCAATCCTGCTGACTGATTTATGCTACTTAATATTTTTTTGGCAGCTTTCCTTTTTATATATACATTTTATCATCCCCCCTCCCCGAACCATCCCAGAAATATGATTGAAGGGTGGCATAAAAATACTTAAATAAATAAATACATGTGGCTTTCCCCCCGGGGGGAGAAATGCTGATAATCTGAGAGAATAGGCCAAGCGCCTTGTAACTCTAACCCAGACAATCTGTAGAAGGGGTGGTAAATGTGATAATGACAGAGTCAGAAGGGAAAGTGAGAACGTTCCTGTTGCTAACGCAGAAGATTACATTGCTGGGCAAAGCCTGCTTACTAGGACAGTTCTCTGCCTTGTTCTTCTTTCTCTCCCTCACAACCCCACTGCCTGCGCTAATCCTAGCTATTCTATAAAAGCACATAACACCTGTGTGCCAGAGACTTAAAGACGTTTGTAATCTGCTGCTGATCTATTTGGAGAATGTGCTAACTGTCAGTTTCTTGATGTATGGTGGGTTGGTGGGGGGGGGGGAGATGACTGACTGATTCCATAGCAGAAGCCTTCTTTAATTTCCTCTGGGCTTTTACCCCTTCAATCAAAGGCAGGCCTGACCCCACACTATTTTGGGTAGTACCATCAAAGACTGAAAACTTAATCCTCCTCTCTTTTTTTGTAAACCTGACAGGCTGCAGTATCCATTTACCTGTATAATATTTTTGAGCACCCACCAGTCCTGGCAACTTAAGTATTTTCAAGACATGAGTGTCTAATACACCAACAAATAATGACAACCAGCACATCACTGAAAGGAGGATTTTTAAATTTTATTTTAGTTTTGGCATAAGCACAGTAATACATGCCGACATTGTAAGAGCAGTCCTTTCTGTCAATCAGCTGAATTTTCTTTAAGCTTCTGACATACAAGTCACATTGAGAGGGTTATGCATTTCACAAGTGGATTTATATATAAATACTTTCCCTGGCTTTGGTTCAGCACAACAAAAGAATTCTAGCATTAGTCTGTATTTGTATTTCTGCACTGACGTGTTTTGATATAAACTGCATACAATCCTAACTAAAAAGTGCCATACAGTTGGAGAACAAACCATACTTACTCTTCTATTCTTCGTAAAAATGCCAAAGTTTTCCCCCCCTTCTTGGAGATCGGAGGCCTTATCTTCAAAAGCATTAAGAGCTTCCTGTCTCAAAAGCAACACAAATCTCTACAAGACCTGCCTGCTGTTCGTACAGATCCTTCAGTTCCTTTGCTACCCCATATACACATTGCAAAAGCTTCAAAATGGTAGCTGAGGTTTGCCATAATATTGAAAATACACCTCATAATTCAGCACTCAGTTCTGTACCACACAGGTACCTCTATATCAGGGGTGGGGAATGTTTTTCAGCTGAGGCCCACATTCCCTCAGGGAGAAACTGCCAAGAGACATTGTGGAAGGGTCAGAGGTAAAGAGCACCGGATGTGTCCTGGCTCCTACTTGCAGACTCAGTACCTGGTTTCTTAACTAGGTTTCTAGGATTAAAAGTTTTGTCCCAAAATTCACTGCAGTGCCCAAGCATAAATTGGGTTACGGGTTACACTGTCAGGAAGCACAGCAGAGCTCTACAGTACTATATCACTAGGCAGAAGAGAAGACGTTGACCCAACATTTGACTGTCCTTTGGAAGAGCTGGGTGGGCACAAACATTTGCATGGTTGGTATTCCAAAGCTAGAGCCCAGGCAAGCAAGCAAGGGCTCCTATGAATTGGCAGAGCCTGCAAAGTCTGTTTGTGCCAGCCCAGCCACCTGGTTTTCTACTCCATCCTGGAAAACAAGGTGTCATCGCATTCCAGATAGATGAAACATGAAGAGAAGGGAGTGGAAGAGTGCTGGTGAGATGACATGGCCTGGTGAGGGTGTGTTGTCTAGGGAAGGCCAGACAGAGAGTCTCAGAAGGCTCGTAGTTTCCTACCTGCTGTATGCTTCCCACTGTGAAATAATATCAGCCATTTAGAGAGGCCATTTAGATTAGGATAATAGAGAAGGCAATAGTTTCATCCTTCCATCCCAGCACCAAAACCCAACTGAAATTACTCCACAAGCTTTTGTCTAGTAAAAGTCTTCCTTTCTATGAACGTTGTTAGTCCTCCAAAGACTACATCAGTTTTGGGCACTAAGTTCTTTAAATATTTTTCCAAATACGTGATTTCAGTTAGTTTGGTCAGTTGCAGACCTATTGGACAGAGTAATATGACAGCAGGAGCTATGTGGGAGGGGGTCATGAAAGGGCATTTAAATAATAATAATAATAATAATAATAATAATAATTGATAATAATAAATTTCTCCCTAGGAAAACTGCTTGTGGGATTTTCTGCCTCATACAGAAAAATAACTTGGCCAGCTTTGGGTTCTGTGCATCTGAGGGAAATGGTGTTTGTTTTTCAGTCTCAAATGGTAAAATATTTTGGGCCAACTGCTTATCCTTCTCCATATTTTCTAGGTGGCCCAATTTCACTTCCAAAGTGATACACACCTGAATTTCCTATTAGAGGAAATGATATGCCTGAGAAAAAAATACTTGACTTTCCTCCAGAAGCTGGTTACCTAATGTAATGTGAGATTCTGAAACGCCTTCAGAAACTGGGTTGAACTAATATTAAAAGTGCAGCTGCATTCATCTGTTGCAGAAAAAAAAGACCAAGATTCTGCTCATCTTTAAGATGCCACAAGAGTCTTTGTTGTGTTTATGTTAAATGCATGGCCAGCTCTACTGTTAGGCAGATTCAGGCAGCTGCCTCTGACAGTTGATTTTGGGTACATTGAAAGGGGAACAAATAGTTAGCTAATTTATCATTGTTGTGTTGTAACTGCCAAGATAGATGGGAGAAGTGTATGTGGGATTTCCTGCTCCAAGTGCTAGAATAACTAAACTACCCTTAGGGATTATGAACCTTGCCTGGGGGAGAACAGGGACATCACAGAATGTATTGGGCCAGCTCTGGTTGAATGAGGACTTGAGTTGTAATTGAACTCAACAGTAGAGTACATATTTTGGATGTACAGGTTCAGTATTTGGGATGAGAAATTCAGGATAGCAGAACACTGCATAACATCTTACTGGGACTCTGGGAAGCTCCTGTCACTCAGAATACTTAGTCCAAGGCAGCAATTTGTGTGATATGGAGAAGCTGTCCATAGTTCAACACATAAAAACACTATAACGGGAGTCCTGGATTTCCTTACATTAAAATAGGAAAAAGGAATTCTATGGCAGTATGGAACAAAATTGAAAGGAAATTAATTATTTTGTACCTCTGATTTGGTGATAGTTTATTTCCCCCAATAAATCACTTGCAGCTTCAATGAACACATTAAGATTTGGGTTGTACCCAATGGGCAAAAGGCACTTTGTGTCACCAATCTTTCTCTCTCCGCTACAACCCCTGTATGATTCAACAAGCGTCTCCTGGGATTTGGGGAGGGGGGCTCCTGAAAAGTGTGGACTGAGTTAAATGGGGCTGCAAACATAAAGAGGGTCTACCTGAAATAGGGGGCAGGGATTCATGCACCAATCGGAAGGGCAATGGGTCAGTGGTAGAGGATCTGCCTTACATGCAAAAGTCCCCAGATTGGGTCCCTGGGAATGTTCCCCTGTCCATAACCCTGGAGAGCAGCTGCTAACTGGTGTAGACCACACAGATACACCAAAGATCTGAGTCACAGCTTCCTATGTCCCCAGTGGACTTCTGCTTGTTTAAAGTCCTTCCTCCAGATTTCAGGCACGCCTCCCCTTCTACAGCAGCTCCTTATGACACATACCCCAACTCTTCAGGAAGGTCTCTGAC